GCTACTACTGCTACTACTGCTGCTACTACTACTACTACTACTACTACTAGCTACTAGCTACTAGCTACTAGCTACTAGCTACTAGCTACTAGCTACTAGCTACTAGCTACTAGCTACTAGCTACTACTACTACTACTACTACTACTACTACTCCTACTCCTACTCCTACTACTACTACTACTACTACTACTACCACCACTGCTGCTGCTGCTGCTACTACTACTACTACTCCTACTAACTACTACTACTACTACTGCTGCTGCTGCTGCTGCTGCTGCTGCTGCTGCTACTACCACTACTACTTCTACTGCAAGCGCCGTTATTTAAATTGCATTAGTTTTCCAGCCGGCCGGGACATTCATTACAATCGCCTTGCCCACACCCTGTTGAATGATCCCTCAGAGAGAACTGTTCGCGGGTCCCACATTTGGCCAAATGTGCCGATCCACAAAGGACTTCCGCTCCAATAACAACGAGAAACATGACCAGTGCTTGCCAAAGCCGGAACCTCAAAACCTTCGGCCGAAGCAAAGATGCGCCTTGCAAGTCTCAGCATGGCTTTCTTATGCTGGCTCTCTTGCTGCGCACGAATTGAGCAAAACAGCTTCGGACGCGCTCACGTGGAACTCCAGGCATGGAAGTCCAAAAAGCGGTATGGGAATCCCCAAGCAAGCCGCCTTCGTAAGGATAGTCAGGGCCTTGGGTTTTCTGACAAGGAGCATGTTTCCAAAACATGACTCCATGCTTTGCGAAATGAAAGCCATAGCTCTGCAGACTGAAAGGCAACTGCCATACCTTGATTGCCTGTGCCTCTCGCAAATTTGCTTCGGGTCTGTGGTAGTAAGGGGGTGGGAGATGCTGCGCACTCTGAATGCAGGATACTATAACCCAAGTATTGCTGCCATCGCCTCAAAGCTTCTAGTCTTTTCCCTAATCTTAGATGACCACCCTCAGGGTCAGTGCAAGGAGCAGATTAACGGCAGTTCAAGCCCAGTCGGCCTCGTCTTGGCTGTCTGCCGTCTGCTGGCTCCCGATTTCTATGGCCTCAGTGGAGCTGAGGTTAAGGAGGACTTAGGGACTTAGGACCAGCAACACAGCCCTACCACATCATCGCCCGACCTCGCGCAGTGCGCGTTTCTGCGTCGTTGCCTTTCGTTTTGCCCGCCGTTGAAGGCCGTGGTATGCCTGGTGGAAATCATGATGATGGTTGCTTGGGCCTGTTTACCTTCGAAGAACGCCCACTGCCATGAACTGCACAGTTGCAAAGATAAGGCATCAACAGCACTGTTGAACAACACCTGAGCTACAGCATCTGGCATCCTGACCATTTTCGTCTGCTGGCATCCGTGACAAGGAGTAAGGATATCCACGGTCTTGTGTGCTGTAGAGAGCCTGCTAGAAACGGATACAGCAATCATGTAGTATACATGCGTTTCCATTTTGATTTGCGCGCATACTTGGTACACACATGGCCGAGTTGCAGGGTGTTCCGGTTGGAAGACTCCAACGACTAGCCTGCTTTTTGCAGCGTGAGCCAGGTCAGGCCAGCAGTTCCTCGATTGCAGCCTCCGGCTGCTAGCGGGAGCTGCAGCTTGAGCTCAGTGACACTGCCTGACGAACCCAGGATCTCCGTGCATGGCCTTGTGTCGAAGCGGCCCTTGCGTTTCGAATCAGAAATAGCCAGTTTTAGCTCATGGCCGTCAACCACACAAATGCCAGTGTACTCATGATCCCAGGCAGCTCCTGCTGCATACTCGTCATAGTCATCGTCCTCGTCATCTGAAGTTACTTCGGTCTCCTTGATCGTAATGCGGAAAGCCCCGCTACTCTGAAACTCTGCCGTAACATCAGCCGTTGTGTTTGGCCCAGCCGGGCCTTCGTCACTAGAGAATAGTTCAAAACAGCCAGTTGGCAAAGATGACATCACCAGTGTCAAGCCAGAACTAGATCCGGTATCCTCAAGCTTGCAGTCATCCTGCAGTACTTTGTCGCCGCAGAGCAATATCATCCGAGCTGGACTTTCGCCAACTTGGCTTTGCAATTGCTCCTTCAGAGCACGGACAGTTCCCTCCTTGTTGAAGTCTACTTCAATCAATCGGCCACTTGGGGTGCAAACGACCACCTTTCGGGACGGTTCTCCCATGCGTTGTGAATTGCCAGTCGAGGTTTGTGCCTTTCCTGTTGCACGAAGCTCTTAAACAGGGCTGGCGCTAGCGCTACCTTGTGCTCGAGCCGGCATATGCATCGGAGGTCAGAGACGCATGCGGCTTTGGGCTAGCAACACGCTGACAAAAGGCACGAAACTCATGAGACTTTGAAAGGCTACCTGCGCACTCCAGCGCGTGCATGCTTTGGAGGGTAAGTTCGAGTCAAGCAGCCAATTTGACGATAGAGTGCATGCTCGACGGGTGCGCGGGGGCGAACCATGTCACTGAGAAGCTCTTGGTCGGCATGCTTACTGTTGAGGCAAGTAGATGATACTGGAAACGAGCTGTCCTGTGTCAAATTAGGAGCCACAGTGCTTGGCCTCGCGGCCCCCACGATGTGCCCACTCCAACCAGCGCTTGCGCAGTTGGCGCACCTTCGATCTTTTTTTGGGCCGCGGGCCTTCGAGGCTTGAGAGTGGCAACGGGATCCGACTTGAGGCCCTAGTGTGTTCAAGTCATCCCGGGCTTCGGCTGGAACTCCGAACCCAGGGCTGTACTCTACCCAATCAACTTAAATCTGGCCACATTGTCATGCCATGGGTTTTTGTTTGGCAGCAGCTCGCAGCGAATGCCCCTGGCTGTCAATAGCTCCGGTTGCATGTATGTAGGGCTCCACACCTTGTGAGACTGCATTGAAGCATGCTACCGTGACAACCAATTCACAGCTTTGGCTTAACGTCATCCTGGGCTGGCCGTCGTGTCAAGATCCGAGCATGGATCCCGTGTGGTATTCTGATCTGCGTGGTGGGTTACCGGCAAGATCCAGCTGTTCTGGTGCTCCTCTTTCCCGACCCCAAGGCGGCCTCCTTGCAGGAGCCATGGTAGTGGTAGGGAGTGGAGCCGCAAGCGGTGCAAACCTCATGGCGCTTGTCGGCTGAGGGCAACAGGTGTACACGCCGGCTGCATTGATTTTGTGGAACCAAAGCTCAAGCTCCCCACCGGTGGCGCGCCACAGTGGCATAGCCAGCTTTTCCGCGCCTCGGACAGGTCGGGCCAGGGCCGCGCGAGGCTTGGAAGCATGCGACTTCTGCGCTCAAGACACGGCACTCTGGAAATCAAAACAACAAGCATGACAGAAGGAACACAGAAGACATAATCCAGAAATCGAAGAACAACCTTCTGTCACGGGAGGGTGGTGAGTCGTCGTTGGTTGTTTGTTCTTGTCAGTGTTTCGTTTGTTTTCCGTTTGGTTCTTCGCTTGACTCCATTGAAGCAAACGAGACTTCGAACATCCCCACCCTCACGGTAGACTGTGGGGTTGGGCACTCCAGGGAGTCTCACGCTAGTCTGTGAGGTTGGGCACTCCAGGGAGTCGCACGCTGGTCTGTGGGGTTGGGCACTCGAGGGAGTCTCACGCTAGT